TGGGTCTCACAGCTTACATTTCCCCAAAGTGCAGCAGCGGTGGTGCAGGTTACTATCCTGGTCATCCTGGTCAGGCAGCGTTCATGTCCCTCAGGAATGCCTGAGAAGCTCGAGCCCCTTTTTAGTCACGCACCGCAGTGTCTGCCATGCATCACCGTCTCCTGCCAACTGATAGAGCTTTGGGAAGCCCATAAAACACAGGGCGGCTGTTAGTCACAGCTCAGGTGTGTGTGACAAGTGGAGAGGCGTTGAGGAGTAGAAATGTGCACGTATGCATGCTGGTGTTTGTCCGAGAGAGGCAAGAAAGAGCGTGGGAGCTGCAAAAAATGTAAGAGAATAACCGGTGCTGCTCTATCTTGACTGTGGTCGGGAAAATATGTGGTTTCTGAGCATCGGGCCTCCTGGAACTTTCCGGAGAGGAGTGCAATTCATGGCTGTGGTCAGGGAGTGCTGCTAATAGTATTGTCTTCCTAACTAAGCATGTATGGGAAAACTCAAAAACATGGTTAACACTGGCTAGGAAAGTCAGTATTTATTTATATATATGTAGAAAGGAATTTTTGTAGGTGGTCATTTTACGTTAAACTATTGTGGATCGCTGCGCTATTCAAATGATTTGGTTCATATAATGGTTCAAATCTGGAATTACATTAAGGTCACAAAGAATACATTCACAGCTTTACTTCTGAACAAGACTTGGAGTCTATAGCAACAGTGGTGGCTTTGTAAGGCTGGACCTAGGCACAGCCCATTGCTTTGAGCTAAATGCTAATGTCAGCGTGTCAATATGCACAGCATGACGATGCCAAAATGCTTACGACAAAAATGTCAACCTGCTGGTGGCCCTAGAGGAAAAGTCAGTCCGAAGCCAGTCAAAGTAGGGTTCATCCTCTTGAGACCAGGAATAAAGAAAATTCATAGCAATAGATCCAGTAGTAGAGATATTTATGTGGAGGATGGACTGACAGACCGACATTTCCATCCCTAGAGCCAGCCAGCTAGCATGGTTAAACCCTCACTCGGCTGCAGCTTCTCATTGGGTTAAAACACAATCCAGTGGAGAAAAAAACCTTTTTATGAGCAGGAAGCTAACAGGATAGCTAACAATGCTTATCTACTAAAGAAAAGCAGGTTGCAAACCATGCTTTCTAAACGCACAGCTGCTTCCTGTACAGATATAACAGAGACCTCATTTGCTGAAAAAATTTAATTTGTAGCTGATGGAAAGAATGTTTGAGGCAAAAAACAAACTCAATCAAAATTAATCCAAACTTTTTTTTTTCAAACCACATCTTACAGTCTTCGTCAATGATGATGAAGGTTTTCCAGAGGATTCAAACTATATTATTCTTGGCTGATAGATAAATATCATTTTAATGTATGACGTATTTAACCATCTTTATTCTGCTGTTTTGCTTCTAAAATGGTACAGCCAAGATTTGTCATAGCGGCCATGCTAACCAAAACCACCTTGAAATTTATGACGTCTGACCTCTGAACTCTGAGCCTTAGAGGCGCACTTAAAGGCAGCATAGCATCCCGTTCTCAGCCCTTTCTTGGGCCGCTCTCTGTCCTTTTTCTCTCTGCTATATTTTACTGTAGTTTTTTTACTGAACATTCTTTCTTGAGGCTGCTAAGCTTCACAGAATTGAGGACAACGTGGTTATTTTTCTAACTTGACACCTCGCTGTCGTTTCTTTGGACGTCGTTTGCATTTGAATAATTCCTTGGAGCTGAAGTCAAAACCAAAGCAGGAGAGAAAAGGAAATATCTGAGTGTGTGGTTTTGTTATAAGAGGAATGTGAACCTAAATTCCTTCATTTTAAGCTTGATTTTCCCTGAAATCAGTTCCTCTTACATGCACATACCATACACCACGAACTGCTGCTCATGGATCTAACACTGTATAGATCGATTGGCTTCAGTATGGTGTGGTGTTGATGGTGTAACAGTGGCGGGAACCAGGTTAAATGTGGTACTGATCTCACATGGAAACACAGCACATAGACTTATACACTCAAACACAAACACACACAACCACACACAGACACACACTGCCCATGTACAGCGGTAGAGATTCCAGCCAGCTGATCTAATCTGGGGGTGCTGTAGACAGGCCGTCTGCCCCTCTGTGTCTATATAAACGGACACACACACGCAGAGTCGCACAGGCACTCAGGAATGCATCACTTAACACCGCGCACACTGAACGTCAGAGCTTCCTTTACCACAGTGTAAGAGAATGCTGTCTTTTAATGTAGCCTCTATGAATAGCCAGCAACAGCCACTGCTCTAAGAAATGAAAAAGAGAAAAAATATGTCCCTTTATCACTGTCTGTCTCTAATTTGAACCTCATGCTTAAGTATCCAATGTGGTAGACATTAGCTACTGAGAAGATTGTCTTAGAAATGGCTCCCATGAGTTTGTGATCTTTAGTCAGGCGGGATATTGGTTTTACATTCCAAATGTTAATTAGATTCAGCACATGCTGATCCCTTGCCAGTGCACCTTCATACAACACCAGACCATTGATTCGGTGTCTCTCTGTGGGAGACTTCGCAGCTGTCGCTTATTAGAACTGCCAATAAGAGGTGGCAAGAATCCCAAAAGCCTTTCAGTGCTAACTAAATCTTATATAATCTTATAATGGTGGTGAACTGCGGACATTGTCTAGAGTTTCCCTTTCACAAATATAGCACAGAACAGGAGATTGTCCGTTTCAGACGCGTTCTCGAAATACTCCTTTCGGTTTAGGCGAGGCGTTGACCTCTGGGTGTCAGGACATGACGCAAAAACAAGGGATGCACCGTTCCAACTTTTTCTGTCCCGATACTGATACTGACACATGGGCTTTTGAAACCAAGCACAGATCCGATACTAGTGTTAAATTCATCAAACATTGCTTCTTTAACTTTGTAAAACAAAGTCTAACAAATACATACAAAGATATGAGTTTATTGAATTGTTATTCATCAGTAAAATAATAAATCGTACACCAGCAGCATGTTAAAAAAAATCTTTTATAATTACAATTTGAGTGTAAACCTTTTTAATGCAGAAACAAATTTGTCAAAACTCCAGAATAATGTATACATTATATAAACATAGAATTTAATTGAGTAGATTGGCCCCATTGTCACCGATATCGGGCTTTGCTATTTAAGTCACTATTGGCCAAATATCTGAAATCGGTATCGGTGCATCATCTGGCAAAAACACATCGGCCACATAGCTGGTTTGTAATTGGGTCATATACAGCTGAGTTTCTTGCTGTTCCTTGAATTTGTCTGACAATTTTGGGATTTGGCCCCGACTGACAAACATCTCTGAATCGTGTTGTCTCTCCAGTTAGACAGTTTCTCTGGCGTCTTTGTGGGAATGACCCTTCCTCTTCACCATCAGATGTTTGTTTACTTCCGGTTTCACGCCAGCCACATGACAGAAACGTCACTAACTCGCCCACTCGTGTGAATTCTCCAGACAATGACCCGTCCTATTCACACACGGCTCAATCAGTCCTTACACAGACTTTACACTGAGGAGCCGGCAGGGTAAAGTCTGTTTTAATGTCCGGTCGAACTTATTCGGACACATGCGGTTTCGATTACAGCTCCTCCGGGCAATGCAAAGATAAGCTCAGGGTTTTAGTGCACGTGTGAAAGGGGTTTCACAGTGCAGACTGTAAATATTACCTCAGCTCTGTCCCTTGATTATTTATTGTCCATAAAGCTATAACCTCAAACTCAAGGAAGTCTTCTCTGGCCATTTCTATGCATGCTAACAGTCGGTCGGTTGGTCTTTGCGACTATTTCAATATTATGTGCAGAAATTCATGGTCCCCAGATGATGTATCCTAATGACTTAAGTGATCTCCGTAACTTTCCTCTACTGCCACCATGAGCTTGAGAGGTTTTTGCTTGTATTTCTTGACACAAAAAGTCAAAGTTTGTATTAATCTAGCATAATATTTTCACATCTAGTGAGTTGATTGGCACCACATTTGTACAATCATCGTTCCCAAGCTGTTTATCCCCTGATATCCCAAGCTGTTTATTTCTGTTGACACCATGAGGTTGAAATCTGTGAGTTGTCAACCAAGTGGGTTGGTTGTTCTGCCATTTTGGTCCAAAGTCAAATATCTTCCCAATTATTGGATGGAATGCTCTGAAATTTGGGAAAGACATGCATTCCCATCAGGCTCAGTTGTAATGTGTGGTTACAGCTAATTAGCAAATGCTAGCATGCTAATACTAAGATGGTGGACATGGTAAACATTATATCTGATAAACATCCGCATGTTAGCATTGACATTGAACGCACGTTGGAAAGCTTTTGCTCAAAGCACCGCTGTCCTGGAGCACAGTCTCACAGAGCTGCTAGCGTGGCTGTAGGCTGCTCACAAATCAGCCGATTAGTGCAGAGAAAGGTCCTTCAGCTCACTTATCCTGAGTGAGTCATAAGCTTTGCATTAAGAGGAGGCCAAGATGCAAGATATGGCTGACCAAAGGGCCTGCTCATGGACAAAGGATCAATATACACAACCAGAGAGGGGGTGACTCAAGGGAGCTGATGCTATTTACAGTAAAAGGGATTGTTAGAAAAAAGAAGGCCGGGGGCAAGTCAGTGCCCGTGTCTGTGCGTAAATGTGAGCATACTGTAGCCGACATGTTTGTATGTGAAAGCGGTCATAATTTAATTAGCTGTCTGCTACCCTTTGACCGACTGAGAATAGCCAAGCCCCCTCTTTCGGATACTTTATTATCTCCGATATCCATTTACACATTCAATCTGTCATCTCTCAGGGACGCTCTCTCGCTCCTCTGGACCCTTTTGTCCAGGAAATTACGAGTTCAAGCTTTCAGGCTTCGAAGGACAGCTGCTATTCTTGTCGACAAAGACATAGTCACAAATGACAAATTGCCTCTGAAAACAGCGCTAGCTCTTTGACGAGACGACAACACATTTGAAAGATTTCTTTTCTCCTTGTGTGTATTTTCAGATGGACCTGAAGCTGCTCTTGATTACCGCATTGCTAGGAGTCTTTTGTTGCGGTAATGCTCAGAAAGGTAAGATTGGCTTACGTACTGTATTGCTGTAACATCATTGTTCTGTCACATGATGTCATTCTTGTTGACGCCAGCACGCACAGCAAACGTAAAAGTTCACAATATCTACGGAGGCCGGCAACTTTATCTTAACGATGTCATTGACCAGAGATCCACCTAAGGAGCGTATAGTATAATGAAAAGAGGGAATGTCTCCAATTACCGCCGAGCCACGTGGTTTTCCAGACGAACTGATGTGTAAACACGGGGGGCTTAACAGGCTGCTTACTTTGCAGGGCCTGTGCTGTGACCCTGCTCCCTCTGACTCTGCCTCCTCCTCTCTTCTCTCTTTGTTTTCCATCCAGAGGGGAACGAGTGCATCAATGCCAACGCAAAGTACTGCGGCGAGTGCATCCAGGCCGGAGCCAAATGTGGCTGGTGTAAAGACCCGGTACGTGAATCGAAGCCGTCAGCTGTAATTGCTGCTGAGAAATGCCGTATTGATGCCATTATGATGCACTTAGTGCCCAATGTTGGGCTGCAGCAAACGATTGTTTGCGATCATTTTTTATAGTAATCGATTACTTGTTAAGCCTCTGAAATATCAGCAAATAATGCAGTCATCACAGTTTCCCAGAGCCCACGGTGATGTCTTACTAAGTTCCTAGTTTTGTTGGACAAGTCTGAAAGCTATTTACTTTACAACTATTGAGCCGAAAAGCAGAAAGACTTCACCTGAAATGATAAGTGGGTTAATCGATTAGTTAACCAACAGACAATTAATCGGCTACTATTTTTATATCTGTCATTTTCAAACATTTCATATTACCAATGCGAAGATTTGCATTGGCCCTATCTAGAGCCGGTGTTTGGTTTGTCCGTTCTGGGCTACTGTAGAAACATGGCAGCCGGCTCCGTTAACAGGACCTGCTCCGTGTGTAGATATAAACTGCTCTTGCTAACAAAACCTTCTTATTGTTCTTATTTTCAGGTGATTATACCTTTGAGAAATGAGCCATATACGGTATATTAGATTCCATTTCTTCTAATAGATCCCTCAAATGCTACACAGTGGTCCCTTTAATCAAGAAAACAAAAAGTAGAAAATCAATGATGAGGATAATTATCCTCACATTTTAGGAGCTGGGACGAGCCAAGTATTTTTGCTCAAGGAATAAATAAAGTGATTAAATGATTGTCACAATTGCTCCCACTGTCATTGATGGGTCCCTGATTTTTGTCGGTCTTTTTTGCAACAGCAACAGCTTTCACAGACTGAGTAGTACACCTTCTGATAAAATTGATGGATCGTCCCTTTAACTCTCTCTGTGCTTCTGCTCATAGAACTTCCTGAAACAGGGTGAGACCGTGTCGACCCGCTGTGACGAGCTGCAGTCTCTGATAAGAAGGGGCTGTGCCGATGCGATGATCGAGAACCCGCACGGGGAACAGAAGACCCTCAACGACAAAATGGTGACACATCGCAGAAAGGGATCAGAGAAACTGAAGCCGGAGGACATCACTCAGATCCAGCCCCAGAAACTCAGCCTCACCCTCAGATCTGGTGAGATTACATTTAATTAAGCTTTTTTTTCTGAAGCTATTCTTTTCTTCTTCGATTTGAACAGTTTTTGTTTTTTTAATAACGGTAACTTCATTGTAGGTGAGCCACAGTCTTTCAACTTGAAGTTCAAACGAGCAGAAGATTATCCCATCGACCTGTACTACTTGATGGACCTGTCCTACTCCATGAAGGATGATCTGGAAAACGTCAAGAACCTGGGAACAAGTCTCATGCTGGAGATGTCAAAGATCACTTCTGACTTCAGGATAGGTGAGGATTTTCATTATGAAGTGTTTGTTTCTGTTTCTTTACTTTTGGGGACAAAAAAATGAAAACCTTTCATTGTCGCCTGTTTCTCTTTGGTTCACAGTTGTTGGAACTACTGTATTTATGAAACAATATGATAATAAAACATACTGTTGGAGTCTAGATTAATTTTTTTTAATTCAGAAAAACAATATATTTATCATCGTTTCTTCTTGTAAAACAAAATATGACGTGTGCTTATATAAGCTAGTACTAATCAATAATATCAATCAATCAATCTGCAACCTTTAGTGTAGTTTTTGTGGAGCCACGGTCTTCTGTAGCTCCGCAATGCACTACATTTCAAGCCCGCCCTCTCTTTTTTAGCAGTTTAATCAAATGTGTAGGATTTGATTAAAATCCCTCTTATTACTGTTCATTTTTTTTAGAATCAGTGTGACTTACACTTTCCAAGGAGATCATTATCTCTGTTCATTGCCAATAAATGTCCATAAATCTGCTTCGAAATCACAGAAAAAAAGACGCTCGTTGGAACTACAGAGCTTTCTCAAGAATCTTCACATTTTAAAGTTTTCTTCAGTTTCAAAGCAAATTGATAATATTTCTCTGCACACCCATGTGTACCTTGCAAACAGTAACTGCTAATAGCTAATTCCGCATACTTTTAATGGTGACAATTTGCCAAAAATGTAAACATGTAGGCAAAATATCAGGGCTCAAAGTAGTTGTCTGGAAATTCTGAATCCGACTGTCTTTTGAAGGTTTCGGTTCCTTTGTGGAGAAGACGGTCATGCCATACATCAGCACCACCCCTGCCAAGCTGCTGAACCCATGCACAGGTGACCAGAACTGCACCAGCCCGTTCAGCTACAAGAACGTCCTGAAGCTGACCAGCGACGGCAAGAAGTTCAACACCCTGGTGGGCCAGCAGCACATCTCTGGAAACCTGGACTCTCCTGAGGGGGGGTTCGATGCCATCATGCAAGTGGCTGTGTGTGGGGTAAGCTGTTTCCCTTCCCTTCAGTAATACTGTTGGAAATAATCATTCTCAGGTTCTCAATTCAAGCTAATTTTCCCACAATTACGCACTCGCTCTGAGGGATACGGCGCCAATAAATGTGTTCATGTGGTGATGTGTGAAAAGGGTATTTTATGAGCATCTAGTGTTTACAGGGGATTCTTGGATGCAGTGATAATCAGAAGTTTGTGTGCCACATTGTGAGCTGCTCATATTCTTCCTTAGCTTTTATATGATGTATCGCTGTTGGCAGACAATTATGACTTCATAATTTGCGTGTTTCTTTCTCATTTCTCAGGATCATATTGGTTGGAGGAATGTGACTCGTCTGCTGGTGTTCTCCACTGACGCCGGCTTCCACTTTGCTGGCGATGGCAAGCTGGGAGGCATTGTTCTGCCCAATGATGGAAAATGTCACTTGGAGAACAACGCGTACACCATGAGCCACTACTATGTAAGAAGATCTGTGGTTTTTTGGGCCTGTTCTACATGCGGGTACGTAACCGCTACTCGTGTTGACTGCGTGTTACATTGAAAATGTCCCCATCTTGTTTTCAAAAAGGATTATCCCTCCATCGCTCACCTGGTTCAGAAGCTGAGCGACAACAACATTCAGACCATTTTTGCAGTGACTGAGGAGTTCCAGCCTGTTTACCAGGTCAGATCTTATTTCTTCGTTTCTCTATCTGGCACTCTACTTCACTTTTATCTCTTTACTGTTCTTCATTCCTTCGCTGTGCATGCATGTGATTAGAAGAGTGCGTAAAAAATATCCACCCGAGCTGATACCTCTGTTATGAGTTATGGTAGCATCCCCATAAAAGCTCAAATTATTTCCTTGTGCCATGCTGTTGCTTTTTCGGGCCAGTTCAGCCCAGTTCCATCTGAGTTTGTTAAAGTTATTTCATGACGTGGCTGCAGAGTACTTCAAAGCTGTAACAATTCTAGCATTTCAAGGTTGAAACAATGTTGTATCCATCTACAGTATATCTGGAAATAAATGATTCAACCAGTATATTTCCAGGCTGTAATGAAATGCAATCACGTCTTGTTGTTGTTTTTTATTAACAGTGCTTTGATTAAGCTTTATTCTAAACTTTTTTCTTCTCTCCTCAGGAGCTGAAGAATCTGATACCAAAGTCTGCAGTGGGCACTCTGTCTGCCAATTCAAGCAATGTAATCAACCTTATTATAGACGCTTACAATGTAAGTACACTTTTATTAAGTCAACAGTTGCTCACGTGAACCACACTAAAGGTTGTTTGAGGTACTTATCCATAGTCAGAGTATTACCTACAGTAGAAGGCGGTCAGAACTCCCCCAGTTTGGAAAAGCAGACAGGAGTACCAGGATGAGAGCAAAGTAATGTAATGCTGTGGACGGGGGCAGCAGCAAAACGTATTTCAGACACCTTGAAAAATCACTATCAGTTTATGTGTACGATCTATTTCGAGTATTTCACCCCTGTACGGTCGGACAACCCTTTCCAACACCTATGCTCTCTATACCGCCAGACACCTTTGGCAAAAACAGGGATTTTACCACGCTTCACGCTTCAGTTTCCCGCCAGAAAGAGCTGTCTGACGGCAAGGTGAAGCAGTGAAAATATTCAAAATATAGCTTACAATCATACTGATAGGTGGCTGAAATATGTTTCGCCGCTCGCCCCGTCCACAGCAGTACATTGCTTTGCTCCCGCGTTGTTACTCCTGTCTGTTTCTCTAAGATGGGGGACGACAACTGCCATAGGTAATACACTGACTATGGACAAGTACCTCCCACAACCCCACTTCAAAAGATCCAAACTATCCCTTTAAAGCATTCAACATAGTGACTGAGTTGGACCAGTCAAACACATTCCCATTTAATTATCAGCTCATCCTTTGTCTACGCTGTCAAAACAAAGCTACCAGATGACATTCCAGCATTATTGTTGTTATCTCTTGGCAGTCTCTCTCGTCCGAGGTTATTCTGGAGAACAGTAAGCTTCCAGAGGGAGTGACCATAGCGTACACGTCCCGCTGTAAGAATGGAGTGGTTAGCGAGGGCGAAAGTGGACGGAGGTGCTCCAACATCTCCATCGGAGATGAGGTGAGTGCTCCTTTCTGTTGCATTTCACCAGGAGAGGATTAAGCCTGAACACACACCACCATTCAGGACATTAAGAGACAGAACATTAAGTCTCATTAAATGTAGATAATTAATGCAAAAAAATGGTTTCTCAGTAATACACCACAGGGATCATAGTATCTTATAATTATATAAATGCCTTAACAAATACAGACACATTTTATACTGGCAGTTTGTGAACTTAAAGTTAAAATTTAAATATCTTGTTTAAGTCTATATTTTGGGAAGAAGTGGTGCACACAGCTCCAAATCTTAAATAATCATACCGGACTGATGATGGCTACTAGCTGACAAGCATTTGCCCATAATAAATAAAAAGACACTTTATCTGTGAGTGCCAGTGTTTTGTTTCTATTTATTCAATTACCCTTTTTATTGCCTCAATTCCAAGTCACATTACACATTTTTAAAAAGTTAGACATTTTCCATATTCTTAACAAAGACGCGTCTGTCTTTGCCGTTGTCATAGACAATGACTTTAACTGTAGAAGCGTATTTATTTACCTGTGTGTCTGCAGGAAACACACTGCCACAAAGCCATGATATGCTTGTATATAGACATGTTCTTGCTGGAAACCACTGAAATACTAGATACACAGCTATGTCAATAGAAGATTTAACAAGCATTATTTATCATACACAGAGGATCAAAAATAATCTGTACTCGCCTATTCGTGATCTTTTGCGTAACAACATGATGTATTTCATCCAAAGTCATCAGACTTCCACTTATGCCAGGCCTAAATTATGAGATGTCAGATACTTAAAAACCACAATTTCTCTAATTCGCACACTGTGTTGCACAAAAGCTGCTCTCTGTCATTGTGGTTTGCTCTCTGAGTCCGAGTCTCCCTCTCCTCCTTCATTCCTAGGTCATGTTCAGCATCAGTGTGACGTCTAAGGGCTGTCCGAAACAAGGCAAGCCTGAGACCATCAAGATAAAGCCCCTGGGATTTACAGAGGAGGTGGAGATTATCCTCAAATTCATCTGCGAGTGCGAATGCAACAAGGACGGCATCAAGAACAGTCCGCTCTGTCACTTCGGTAACGGGACCTACGAGTGTGGAGCCTGCAAGTAAGTCTGCGAACGTTTCCACAATCCTTATTGCACCATATGTGTTTCGCTAAAAAATATCCGAAAGCTTTACGTCTCATGTACAGTCTCACTTGGAGAATCACAACCTCTCCCTCGTCTCAGGTGTAATGAGGGCCGAGTGGGCAGAAAGTGTGAATGCAGCAGCAACGATGTGGCCACAGAGGACATGGACAGGACCTGCCGTAAGGACAACGGCACCGACATCTGCAGCAACAACGGCGACTGTGTGTGCGGCACATGCGAGTGCAAGAAGAGGGAAAACCCCGAGGAGAGGTACAGCGGCCTGTACTGCGAGTGCGACAACTTCAACTGTGACCGCTCTGGAAACAAACTGTGCGGAGGTGTGTATGACGGATCTCGTCTCTCTGAATTCCAGATCTCAGCGCGCAGGCTTTACACGGATGATGTCCAGAGAGAGAAAAGGGGCTCATTAAAGCTTTCATGCTCTTTTTCTTCTTGTGTTTTTCCTCAGGGCATGGCTGCTGTGAGTGCAGAGTGTGTGTCTGTGACCCCATGTGGACCGGAAGCGCCTGTGATTGCTCTCTGGACAACAGCACATGTATGGCGAGCAACAAGCAGATCTGTAACGGCAGAGGAATGTGCGAATGTGGCACCTGCAAGTGCACTGACCCCAAATTCCAGGGTCCCACCTGTGAGACTTGTCCTACCTGTCCAGGAGTCTGCACTGAACACAAGTAAGTCTCAAAAGAAGATGTGTTAATATGCATTTCCTGATACTCGTGTAGTTTCTTTGTTGGTATTGCTGGGGAGAAAATATCCATAGGCAGGAAAAAGGGAGCGAAATCTTCAAACAGAAGTAGAAAAGTAAAAAGGTTCAATACTGGGAAAGAATTAAAAAAAAAAGATATCTCCTCTCTGGCCTCTAATTGTACACTTCCCAAGGATATCATTGTCTCCATCCATCGCGAATAAACATTCATAGATCTGCTCATCATGGAAAAAAAGACGCTCCTTATAACTCCAGATCTTGCCTGAGAATCAGCACTTCTTTAAGGTTTCTTCAGTATCAAAGTAATCAAGTGAAAGCTGACTGTATGTCAATGAGTAAATTAAAAAGAGGAACTTTTAATAGCTAATTCGGCATACTTTTGATGTTGCTAATTTGCCAACATGTCAGCTAATAAAGGGTAAAATACAAGCTAAAGTAAGAAGACATCGGTGTAATTGTAAGTTTTTTTGCTTTAAATTTGCGTATCCCTTCATTAGCAAATCTCAGTGCTCATTAGTAACGACAACATCCCGCTCCCACCAGAGAGTGCGTCCAGTGCCGGGCGTTCGGCACCGGTGAGAAGAAGGACACGTGTGAGAGGGACTGCAGCTACTTCAACCTGATCAAGGTGAAGGAGAGGGACAAGCTGCCCCAGCCCAACGACGCCTCCTACCCCGTGATGCACTGCAAGGAGAGGGACGCCAATGACTGCTGGTTCTACTACACCTACGCCGTCAACAACAACACGGAGAAGGAGGTCCATGTGGTCGACTTGCTGGGTAAGCAGAGAGCTAGGCTAACGTGAGCCAGGGTGTGGAAGGTTTCTGTTACAGAGAAAGCTAATTACAGGGCCTGGGTTGCAAAAATAGGGCATTTGTTTATTCACTTTCAGCCGTGTGATTGTACGTTATTCCCGTGGTCTTGTTATTTTTGCACTCTTATTTCAAGCTGCCTAAACACTGCTGCGCCCCACTGTTTCAGACTGCCCGGCTGGCCCTGACATCATCCCCATCGTGGCGGGCGTGGTCGCCGGCATCGTCCTGATTGGCTTGGCCCTGCTGCTCATCTGGAAGCTGCTGATGATCATCCACGACAGGCGAGAGTTCGCCAAGTTTGAGAAGGAGAAGATGAACGCCAAATGGGACACGGTGAGTGTTTTGGAACCGTAATCGGCTCCGTGAAAGACGAGAAAAATACGTGTTTGATTTTTTGCACTGATTATTGGCAGAAGTTTGGTCGAGTCACTTAAAATGTGGAAAACAGGTGTTGTTCGGCTGCTCTGCAGAGCCGTCCGCTGAATTAACATGTAAAGATCATTCGTTGTACTTAGCAGCAGAAGAGATTAGCAGACTTGTTAATATCATCACAAAGTGTCTCGCTCACATTCTCTTCAGTCGCACAGCTGTGGAAATAGACTGAATGTGTTGCTTTTGAATGGCGCTCAAAATATTTTAAAAAAGGGAAAATGTCAGGGACTGTGAGGACTTTTTTTGGGAATGTTATGCACTCTGAGCATAGCTGGACTTTTTTTTTCCGGGGAGTGGCTACAGCTCCTCCCCTCCCGGTTTCCTCCAAGCTGTAGCATCATCAGCCAACATCAATATGACAGAAGAGTGGATTTCTGCACAGCTTCATGTGCAGTGAAATGTCTCCACCTAGTGGTGGAACAGTGTCACAGACGCAGACTATGGTGGGTTTGATGATGCAGATGTTCCCGATCTGTATGTTGGGGTCTTACTTATTACCATGGGCAGGGCAACATAGGGCTCCACACCCCTTTCATTTTGAGAGAAATGAGAGAGTGTTAGTGAAACTCTGGGTAACCGGGATTTCCTGACAAGATAAGAAGGCAAAGCAACCAAAAGGAATTTCAAAGATACTGCATGAGCTCCTTCCTATATGCTCTCTTATGATTGCAACCACACCATCCTGATGCGTAGCCTCAACGGAGTACTTTTTTTTAGTACGTTTAAATAGATCACAAGTTAATGAGGGTGTCACACAATCTGGGAGGGTTGGCGTTTGTTTGATTTAGAGTAAATGTCGCAATATGTATTTCCTTTTTGAAAAGGGTCTGCATATATGAATAAAAAGTGGGACCAAGGTACAAGAAGAGCTCATTAAACCCCCAAAACCAGAGTCTCTGTTTGAAGGGACTGTTCGCATTAGCTAGCAGTCTTGTTCAAAAGTCACAGGGCTCAGCCAAATGTCGAGAGGTCTGGATCACGTTTTTTTGCTTGTGATTCATTAATATGTAGTATCAGTTACCAGGTCTAATATATTTTAAATAACATTTTTCTTCTTTTTTTCTACATAATTAAGCTGTAGAGTGCCTGCGTAGGCTTCAGTGATACAACATTACATTTAACATGGCTACTTAAAGCAGAATATCTCTATCTTAAGAAAATATAACCTTTGTCAGAGTTATTTTTTTCATATTTTTTTTTATGATTTCGTAAATGTCTATATCTGAGAAGGCGGTGTGTCAGTGTGGATCTGTTGCGGCAGGAAGAGTGGGACCGAGTCCTCTTCATGAGCAAACTACTGAAGTTCAGGATCTGTTTTCAACCAACAGCAGAACGTCAGAACTTTTTTAAAAGTATTATAGGGCCATCATTAGTATTTTTACTATTATGAGTTTTATTATTTTTGCCTTTATTAGAGAGATGTAATGAAAGATGGGAATGTCATGCCACAAAGATCACTAGGTTAACCATCAAACTATTCCAGAAAAGGACACAAAATAATAGCCTGTGATACGTAGAGTTGGAGTGGAGGTGCTCTGGTAGGTAGGCTCTGAGGATGGGCTTTGTCTGTCTGTAGCCACAGGCACATTGCCTCAATGAGGGCTTCCAATAAAAGAAGTCTTTATTGTAAAGTGTACACGATCCGCATTTAAATTGTGAAAAAGGCTCATCACAAACATGCCGTCCTTTCATCACTTTCACTGGACTTTATTCCTACTTTTCTCTCTTTATTCTGCCATTTTTGTATTCCTTTTTTTCTGTGTTTTTCCTGCTAAACTCTATTCCGACTTCTCTACATGTAGCAAGAAAATCCAATATACAAGAGTCCTGTCAATCAGTTCCAGAACCCACAATATGGACGTAAAGCTGATGCCCTTTAAGTTTGTATTTCCTTTCCTTTCCAAGTCATTTTCCTGCATGGGCTTTTTACGTGTGCCTTGATTTCAATCAGTATATATTTTTTTCTTCATTTCACCTGTCTTTTATAACTATCAAGAACACAAGTAGGTAGTAGGAAGAGAAATATTACCTTCATAGTTTGTAAAACAATGAGTGCATGAGTGTGCTGTGACAATCGATACAGCTAACTAAATCACAAAACCTGGTCAGTGTTTGAGGATACTAAGTGCAGAAATGGCCAAAACCTTGTCCGGTGAGTGTGAAATGTGTTTAAATACGATGCAGAATCTGAACTTCTTGATATTTGGTACGGCGTCACAAAAGCATGGCTGTGTGCTGAGTGTGATCAAAATAAATAACATGTACAGTAATGGGATGATGCTCTGTTCTGATGACGCATTTGTTTTTCTGTGTGATTTGCTAAATGTGTCAGAAAATCTAACATAAAAGTTGCATATTCATTCCTGACTAATTGTCCTGACCTAATTGTTACTTCTATTTCTGCTCTGCAGGGTGAAAATCCCATCTACAAAAGTGCTGTCACGACTGTGGTCAATCCCAAATATGAAGGAAAATGAAGGCATCATAGTTTTCAATGAACTCTGCTATCAAGGATCTGACGACTGCAGTATTTAACACAAATTGGGGGG